TACATATATATATATATATATATATATATATTGTTTTCAACTGTTTCTCATCTTTTCATGTCCATGTGCATACTTTTTTTTTCATTTGCCATGCTATTGTGTAAAATGGACAAAATGTCCTGACTGTTTTAATCAAACACTGTTAAATTAAAGGAATACAATGCGTTGTGAACGCTGTATAATGCTGACTTTAAAGTTTATAGATGAGAATAGGATGAAAGAGAGTGAAAACACACAAGTACATTAACACTTTCATTTCACACATACACTTCACTGTATATAAAGTATATTTCTTGGCAGTGAGAAAACAGCTCTTAAATCATTACTAGATCTCTAAAAGCGAGTAAAAGTAAAGAGTGGTAAAAATGTTTGGTCTTGGACAAAGCTCATCATTCGGAGCAGTCTGGAAAATGTCTTTAACAGTGACGCATACTGGTGGGGGTTTTCACCCAATGCATCGCAGGTTATTGAGTACTCTTGGATTTCCTCTTCCACCCACTCTGACCGCTTGAGGCCCAGGTCCAATTCAGCGATGAGCACTACACGTTCCACACATGCGTATGAAAACGTCTCCTTGAAATGGTAAAAACATCACTTGCTTATTCATGCACTGACCTATGAAAAGACACACTTCTAAACTCTGTTATATCTATTCTGGGTCAACAACATTCATAACGGTAAAACAATGATTCATACCAGAATAGTATTAAATGTCAAACTGCACCATCTTAAATAACTCTTCTGAAAATAGAAAATCACTAAAGACTCCATGAAGTTGCTTGATGTGTGCAGTTTTCTTTTTTGTGTTGACGTATTTCCTCTTAAAACAGAAAGCTGATTGGGACATATCTAAAGAGCCATAGGGCCTCAGGGAAGATTTTCTCATTCTACAATATTAGTGGACAAAAAAACAAAATAATATTTTTCCAAAGATGAGTGACCAATATTTTGGTCTTGCTTTACAATAAATTGTTAGTTTTAGCCCTACACTAGCATACAGATTGCCTCAAAGCTAAAAGACATGGACCAAAAGCCATAAAACTCAAATTTTGATTTTATGACATTAAATTGACATTACGATTTTTGTTTAATAGCAGGGATAGGCCATGGTTTTTCCCCGTTCTGTTTTTGTACATGCATTTTATTACTTTCACATTACTTTCAGTTATGAGAGTTTGCAGTCCACAACAGATGCCAATTTCTTTGGGAAGTAAATGATTATCTGTTGTGGTTTTGCTGCTGGTGTTTGTCTTAACAGGCGATTATAACCCAGAATGTGGGTTCGTACACAAAGATTTAATGGGCTTCAAATGCCAGAAAAAGACGATGAAATCAAAAGGCAATGTGACCATTCAGAAGAGCTTTGGTGGTTTCCTTTTTAATGGCACCCATGAAATCAACATGTCACACGGGTGTAAAGCTGTCTAGCCTCTAACAATGTGTGTCAAAACATTTCCTGTGAGAAAATATATTTTTTTCTAAATAGAATTTAAAAAAATGTTGGAACAGATCCGCGATGTAGCAATCAACCTCTGCAGTGAAAACAGGAGACGTGTTTAAGGCTGCAGCTCTAAATTAACATCAAGAGCTGCAAGTACTCAAAAGCCTTTTAGACTCTACAGTTCACTGTCCATAAACTGCAAAAAAGTGAAAGTGTATCCTTCCAAATGGTGCTAATGCCGTAATACTTGAGTTGTGTGACGCACCATTTCTTTTCTAATAATAAGATTGTTAGTGCTCACTAATAGCAGAGCCAGTGCCTGCCAAAAGCCTGTTTTGCTTTAGAAATCTATGTTGGCTCATTGGGATAAAATTGTACAGCTTGTTGTAATGTACTATAGAACAAGTAGAAGTCATCTGAAGAGAGATTATTTATATATATATATATATATATATATATATATATATATATATATATATATATATATATATATATATATATATATATAT